TCCAAACCCTTGAGGATATGATGAGAGCATCTGCCATGGAGTTCAAAGGAAGTTGGGATGAATACGTAGCACTAATAGAATTCTCCTACAACAATAGCTATCATAGTAGCATCGGAATGGCACCTTATGAAGCTTTGTATGGTCGAAAGTGTAGATCGCCACTATATTGGGATGAAGTTGGGGTAAAGTATATCATAGGACCAGAGTTGTTGCCAGTAGCCAAGGATAAAGTATCAGTGATACGAGAGAAACTCAAGGCAGCCCAAGATCGACAGAAAAGCTGGGCAGATTTGAAAAGGCGGCCTCTAGAATTTGAAGTGGGAGATAAGGTGTTCCTCAAAGTATCCCCAACTAAGGGAGTCATAAGGTTTGGGAAGTGGAGAAAATTGAACCCAAGATTCATTGGGTCCTATGAAGTCTTGGAGAAAATTAGTAACTTAGCTTACCGATTGGCTCTCCCTCCACAACTAGAAGGAGCACACAATGTGTTCGAGTCGAGGAAAACCTGTCTTATCTGACCCTGGCCAAATCCTGGAAGAAGATAAAGATGTTCGAGTCGAGGAAAACCTGTCTTATCTGGAAATTCCTATTAGGATTGTTGACCAAAAGGAACAAGTATTAAGGAATAGAGTCATCAAGTATGTAAAAGTATAGTGGTCAAATCACACCCCAAGGGAAGCTAAGTGGGAGGTAGAAGACAAAGTTCGACTAGAATACCCTCACCTATTTGAAGAGGCCACTAGCTAAGTTTCGAGGACGTAACTTCTTTTAAAGAGGAGAGAATGTAATACCCAATATTTTTGTAATAATGTTGTTGTTCTAAGTTAATTTAAATTAAGAATAACCTAAATTTTCTTACGTGTGGAGAAATAATAATAATAGTAGTAACAAGAACAATACAATATTAACACTAATAAAAATAACATAATAGAAACAATAATTATAATAACAATCGAAGCTTCCATTAAAAGTAAAAATAATGTTAAATTGATGTGAATAATAAAGGTCATCCTACAAAAATTTTAAAATAATGCAAAAGAGTTAGGGAAGAATAGTAACAAATATAAAAACAATAAGGAAGGGTTAGTTAGGAATAAAATAATAATAAAGGGGTAGGTAGGAATAGTAAATATTTAAAAAAATAATGAAGGGTTAGCTAGGAATAAAAGAATAATGAAGGGGTAGGAAGGAATAGTGAAAAATATTAAATAAATAATAAAGAGGTAGGTAGGAATAGTGAAATCTCCCCCTATAAATAGAGGACCTACCATTGTATTGTGGTACACCAAAAATTTGCTAAGCATTGGACACTTTTTAGTGAAGGACTAATCTTAGTTATAGTTCAAAAAATTTCATAGTAGTTCTTAAGAAAGATCAAGGTAGCTTTGGGGGATCATAGAGTCTCAAAGGGTCTTCTAAGAGGTAATTTTCAAACTTCTCCTCTTAATTAGGGTTATAATTTTAGGAGTTAAATTTCCTTGTGTTATTTATGACATGAGCCTTTGAATGTTTATTGTTATATATTCTAGGAATGTTTAGATGAATGGTTTCAAGTATCATCCATGTTTTGGTAATAATAGTATAACTTCTTAAATAGTAAGCCATGCAACTAGATTGCTATATCTTCTTTATTTTTGTAAGTGGTAATATGTTTTCCCAAATAATGAGCTATATTTTGTAAGCAGTATATTTTCTTTCAAAATATTAATATTACAAAATAATGAGTTATATTTTCCAAGTAGTAGTATACCTTCTTTTCAAAATGATAATATATATGGTTCTTGATAGTTTATTCTCTTTTCAAAATAATGTTTCATATATTTTCTTAATTATTAGAACATTTCCTTAAGTAGTGATATATTGTTTGTTAGTAGTAATTTGATCTCTTTCAAATAATAGTATATATTTACTTATAATAATATGATATTTTAAATAAACACTATTTATTCTCCTATTATATCATACTTTCTTTCAAAGTAGTATTTTGTATGTTTTTCAAATATGGGTATATTTTCGTAAATAGTGAATGGTAGTTAAAGTTTTAAAGTTTACTTTAGCGGAAACTTACTAGTATTATACTAAACATAGATTTTAACTATATACTAACAATTCACTAAGAGATGTCCTATCTAGGGAGGTTGGATTTTAAGTGGGACCGTTGTGACCCCTCCAATCTTTCCTGGGGATGATTTATAGTGTGGTTTATGGTACACAAGTATAAGAAATTTTTAAAACAATTATTTCAATATTATATTTAGGACATTAGTAGAAGTTATTAGTATTGTAAAAGTAGTATTAAGAAAATAATGTGCATGGTGTTAGGTGAAGAAAAAGGTGTTAAATTGTTTGACAAAGAAGTTGCTTAAGTCAAGGTGCGTTCCCTCGCACGATGTACATGCTTGTCTAAGTGCTTATGTGAAATAAATGTTTTGATTGTTATGCACAGAATGTGATAAATGCTTTCTTTAATTTATGTTGAAATGTTTTAGAATTGAGACCATATGCGCTTACGATATTGTGGTAGTCATCACTAAAGTGAAAGGGACGAAAAAGCTGGAAAGCCCAAGTCCCAAGGCGAGAGTAACCTTAAGTTAAAATGATCCCTAATTTCGGAGGGTTTATTTCCGAAACTGTGCAGAGGTTATCATGATAAAGTATATAGCTATGTCTCAATTTCTAAAGTTGTGAATGTGTTATTTCTGAAATGAGAAAGTTACGAAGTGAAATGTTGTTTTATGAAATGAAAGTGTTCTTTGAAATATTTTTGAATTGATCATGTTTCAGTGAAATGTTTGTGAGTTTGCATAAGTACTTGAACTTGCATATACTGACCCCCCAATAGATAGTTCGAGTGATAGTGATGATGGTTACGACGATGGGGAGTATGATGGGGAAGAATGGTAGATTGGTGACCACTAGGCGAATTGAAGAAATGTTCTTTTGTATTTTGTTATAGTTTAAGTCCGCTGCATAAGGCTAGTAATTTGCTTTTGATGACTAATGTATGGTAGTTTGGATTTATCAATCTTAGAGTTTTAAAAAAAAGAAAATGTAAGATGCCTTACTTGTATGACATGGGACATAGTTCTTTGTTGTACTTATGGCGTGTCAACTAGGCCCCTAGTTTCGAGGCGTGACACGAATGCCAGGGTCCGTTCAGCTCCAGGGTGTCCCACCCAGAGGGTATCATGGCACTCCTTCATGATGTTTCTACGCAGCTCGCCACCCCTAGGAACATAGAGGCGGTGTTTCTTCGTATAAAGGAGGCCGTCGCTAAGCCAAAACTGCTTAGCCCTTCCCTGCTCCACAAGTTCAACCAGGTTCACTGCGCCCGGAGCCACCTTCATAAGGTCATGGATCTGGTCCTTGATGCCCGTAGAAACTTCACTCCCCTACAAGGCCAACATGCGATGGACTGCAAGTGTCCCTTCTGACTCAGGGCATCCGCAACCTGATTTATCTTCCCCGCCCGGTACTCCAATGTGAAATTGAACTCGAAGAGTAGCTCTTGCCATCGAGCCTATCTGCTACTCAACTTAGGCTGGGTCATGAAATGACTAACTGTAGTATTATCCGTCCTCACCATGAAGGGTACTCCCAGCAGATAATGTCTCCACACACGCAGGCAATGCATAATAGCTAGCAATTCTTTCTCATGGGCAGTATAGCGGCTTTCAGCGGCGTTTAGCTTGCGACTCTCATATGCCACTGGGTGCTTCCAGCATCAACACTATGCCTAGAGCAAACTTTGAGGCGTCTGTGTGCACTTTGAAGGGTTTCAACATGTCGGGCAGTGCAAGTACAGGGTTTGTGGACATGCTCATCTTCATCCGTTCAAACGCCAGTTGACACGAAAGCTCCCAACTCCATGTCTTCCCCTTTTTGAGCAAGTCCATCAGTGGTAAAGCTATCATGGAATAATCCTTCAGAAAACGTTGATAGTAGTTGGAAAGTCCAAGGAACGATAGAAGTTCCGTGACATTGCTAGGCGGCTTCCAGTCCGTGATAGTTTGGATTTTCTTAGGATCCATGGAGATTCTGCCAGGCTCAATAATGTGTCCTAAGAAATCAATCCTTTGTTGAGCAAACAAACACTTTGAGGGTTTGGCATAGAGCTCAGTTTCCCGAAGCCTAGCCAGCACACACCTCAAGTTCTCCAGGTGGTCTTCCAGCGTGTTGTTGTAGACCACGATATCTTCCAGGTACACCACCACAAATCGGTTAATAAAGTCCCGTAGTACCTAGTTCATGAGGGTACAAAAGGTAGCCGGGGCACATTAGTGAGCCCGAAGGGCATGACTAGAAACTTGAAGGCCCTGTACCTTGTCACGCAAGTAGTTTTATGTTACTCCCCATCCTTGATGCACGCCTACTAGTATCCCGAGCGCAGGTCGATCTTGGTGTAGATCTTGGCGTGACAAAGTTGATCAAAGCAATCAGCCACGAGCGGGATCGGGTATTTGTTCTTCACAGTAATCTTGTTGAGTGCCTGATCATCCACGCAAAACCGCAGGGTACCATCGCTCTTCTTTTGGAATAACATTGGTGCACCATAGGGGGATTTTGCTGGCACGATAATGCCACCCTAAAGCATCCAGGCTAGCAAGCTCAGGTTGTGACATCAGGTTAGGAGCACGAGCAGGTGGCTTTGTCCCCGTGATTAACTCAATCTCGTGGTCCACTTCCCACTTGGGAGGCAGTCGCTTCGGTAGCTGGTCCGACATCATATCTGGAACTCCTCCAACAACTGCTTCACCGACGGATCCACCGGCCCCGACTTGTCCTTGATATCATCCCAACAAAGGTAAGCTATGTAGCTCACCTCATTATGCTTCAAGCCCTTCTTGAACTACAGGGCAGAGATGTTCCCCTGTCCGCCCTTCGCTGCAGTCCCTTGAATCATGCATGGTCTGTCCCCCAGCACGATCAAGGCATTGCCATAAGGATAGATGGCAATTTGGAAAGCCTGCAGGAAGTCCATGCTGATGATGCACTTGAAGTCATCCATCTTCACCATGTGGAACTCCGTTTGGGCCACAAACAAATCCCGCCTTCACCTTGCAATTCTTGATTACCCCTATGATGGTTTGAGCCACTGAATTGATGGCCTTCACTTTTCCTGTGGTGAGAACTAAGCCCATCCTCTCCACCTCCGTGTGCGAGAGGTAATTGTGAGATGCCCCGGTATCGATCATTGCCTGAGTGACCTTTCTGTTCACAATGAAGTCGACATATAACAACCGTCCATCTATCCCACGAACCGGTTGTATATACTCGATCTCTTCGCCTCCAAGGTTGTCCATTAGTGCCTCCACGGCTCGGGACACACCCTTCTTGTTGGCAAGCCCATGCTTCTCTGCTTGAAGCCTCGTGATAGCTCGATCTACCCTGTGCTCTCCAAGGAAGGCTTTGCCGGTGCCTTCTCCACTGGACTCATGGCATAACAAAAGGATAAGGCGCCATCGTGTCTTCTCCCGTATCTTCCTCTTCTTTAGCCTACGCCTCCGCCACAGGGTCTCTCCCTGCTGGAACTCAGCATAATCTGCGAGCAGGGCATTGATGATCTTCTTCTTGGGACACTCCGCGGCTCAGTACAGACTGTTGTACAAGAAGCATCCTTGTCTCGATGTGGAACCTTGTGCACTGGAGGAGGCTTTCCATCCACCATTCTGGCCACCCAAACTACCGCACGAGCTGCCCTGCCCACTTGACCCGCCTGTGGACTGACCAGGGGCACGATCTCCTCCACTCTTGGCAGCACTAAAGCTTTGCTTCCCAAACTTGTTAACCCCACTCTTAGGGGCACCGCTGTTAGTGGGCCTCAACTCCTTCTTCGTCTCCATGTGGTAATCCACCAACTCTTCCGCTTGGACTATGGCTTCCCCGAGGGTTCCGACTCTTGCTCTATTCAGCTCCTGGCGCACCCACGGTTTCAGCCCTTTCTTGAGAAAGAAGAGATTGTCCTTTTCCGACATATCTGTGATGCTGAATGGACATGAGTTAAAGCTCTGCACACAGTCTCGAATGCTCCCTGTGTGCCGCAAGGTTTGCAGCTCCCTTTGTGCTCGTTCCTCCACATTGTGTGGTAGGACTGACACTTCAGGCGCATCTTTAGTTCATCCCATGTCTCTATGGTCACCCAACCTGCTTCGATTTCCACCATCTGGCCACACCACCATTGGGCAGCATCTCCCGCCAGATAATCTATTGCGGTATCTACCTTCTTATCCTCCGACCTCATGTTGGTGGATTTGAAATACCGCTCTAGATAAAAAATGAAGCTGTCTAGCACCTTCTCGTTGCATTCCCCTGTGAACTTGGTCGGTTCAGGGGCTTTGTGTTTCCTCCTACCGACTCCACCAGCTACACCGTTCCCTCCTCCGAGGGGTTGGTTTGCTATGGCCACTACAAGTACTCGCACCCGCCTTGCGAGGTCCTCAGGTTTTGTGTTGAGTTCCCCGACTTCCGCTTCAGTCCCACAATTTCCGCACCCTAATCCTCGAGCATAGAACGAAGCCCTCGGGTTACCGCTTGCTCCTGTTCTAATTCCCGACTTATGTGCGCAACATCCTCCTCTGCCTGTTTCATCCACGAACTCAGGGGAATAGCATTCTCTCCTTTTCCAAACACTTCAACCCGAAGTCCCCTCAGGCCCACTTCGGCTTCCGTCAATTGTTCCATCTGTTCCGAAGAATATTTTTCCAACTCTGCTAGTCATTCCTTGTGTCCCGCCATTGGAACACACACACTAGCACAAAGCCTAACCCAGAAAGGTCGAGCTCTGATACCAGTTGTCACGGGGTAGTCCTTGAATGTTAGGAAACCCGTGTGGCAAGCAGCACGTTGGATGCTGCTTCTGCCAAGACTCACTAAGGCGTCGCACTCAATAGACGGCAAGGGTTGCACATCTACCTTTAGAGGACCGAGGAGCATGAGACAATACTCTACTGCACTTCAAATACAAAGGCTCAGGCAACTTATAAGCAACAACTTGTTTTTCATTAACGAAAGCGGCAAAGATTACAAGGAAAACAATATGCACAGGGAAACCCGTTCACTTGCTTAGATTCTAGTCCGCTACTCTCCCTCAAGGTAGTCAAAAAAAACAAATCCCCTAGTGATAGGAGTAGGGAAAAATTTTCCTCAAAGAAAATTACAAGAACGCCATTCAACTACTACTCCTACTATTTACAAGAAGGACAAAGACCTATCTATTACTAGGAGCTTGGCACAAGGTCTTCATCGTATGTAGGTGTTGAAGGTGCTGCATGGTGCTAAAGGGAAAAAAGCCCCCCTTCAACACAGTCCTAGGTAGCTATGAGCAATTCCAAACTTTACACTTTTCATCCTCTTTTCGATTATTTCTCCTTTTTTATTGCGTTATATTTCAAAGAATACATCAAGACCCTGTCATACAAGGAAATGTATCAAACTTAATCCTTCTTAGCTCATAATGTTACAAAACTAGATATAAGCATTGTCATTGAATGGGTGAATTTACATGAAAAAATATACAATTGTAACGCCCATTGGTTGTTATACATCATTATCTTTTCACAAAAAAAAAAAAACCAATTAAGAGACACTTTATAAATTAATACTTTTTAGAAGGAAAATATCACGATAAAATTCTAACAATGACGTGCAGTTTAGGGGTAAGACGCTCCCTGGTTTCCAATAAGTCATAGGTTTGTGTCACGCTAGGAGTAAATTGAAAACCATTATTGGTCCTTTTAAGTTTAAAAAGAATATCATTATAAAATTCTATTGTTAAGGTATTTTAGAATTAATGTCAATCTAGAATGCTTCTAGGACAATAGGGTAAAGCAGGTGTATTATTTTTAACTTATTTAAAGGGCAGCCGCTACACGCTATTATAGCATTTAAATCCCCACTAGTTTTTAGAGAAAATGTAAGGAAAATAGTTATTATCAAATTAATTAATTGTCTTTCCCTCCCTAAGCACCTGCATTTAATTAATTTTAACGTTACCATATCCCACCTAACAGTTTAACCGCGATTAATTATGGTAAATGAATCAAGAGTAATCAATTTGTTTTTATGTAAAATGTTTAATGTCACTTAATTAAAGTTACTTCTATTCTATGATAAATAAATATCACACGTTTTAGATCCTAATTTCAAACTCCTTATCCATAGTCTCCAAGATATTTGTACCGGAATAATCATAACAAATGATCTTCATTATGCCTCTAATTTTATTATTATTTAAATTCAAAACCAAAATTTCATGATGTTTAAAATGAAATCATTTTTATCTCCATATAGATTCACAAAATTCACAAGTATAAAAGAGACCAAAACCTCGGTTCCTAAAACCATTGTTATCTCCAAATTTATTTCTTATTTTCTTTACACGCTTCATAATATTTTCAAGAAGACTTCCTTCCCGTCATAAAACTTTTTTCTTTTTTTAAATTTATGGGCATTATATTGTTACCATTGATTACTTTAGTGTTTTTTCTTCTTTTTTTTTGGCTTTTGTTTTCTGGATAGAGAACGATAATGTTAATTTTGGTCAAATACAAATTCCTCATAACATAAGTCGATTGGATGAAAAGTGCATCCCAATAACATGCATATCTTTTTTTTTAAAAAAAAAAAATTGCTATAACTAATACTCTGATTTTGATTTTTCTCCTAGCTTGGTGAATTATAAACATAATCTTACAATGTTGATTATGATGTTTTCACAAAAAAAAAAGATCGACTTTCAGCGTCTATGTATAACTTTTCTAGAATCTTTTATTTCAATTTTTTTTGTTATGATATTCTTATAACTGCCTTTTTCTCCTACTTCAAATCATTTGTCTTCGATTTGATGACATTTTTTCTCCTCCACATCATTAGTTTTGCTAGTTGCTGCTTAAGTTAAATTGAAGGAAACCATCACGAACTAATTGAAAAATTGAAACTGTTAATTTTCATCTTTTTTCTTGATTAAACATTACAAGCAATTAGTTTTATTTTCTTTCTATCTAATACATAGTTTTTTCTTTAATGAAGTCTATGTCAGTGGTTTAACTTTTTTTTTTTTTTTTTGGCATTTGGTTTCATAATTTCTACATAGAACATCCAAATCCAGGTTGCAGATAAGCTGATGTTGACGAGAGACCAGACAAGCAGCAACATTGGTGACAGACACTGATGAATGTCAATTTTATATGATTATAAGCATTATTTTTAGTCACTTTTTCATTGTAGTATAATAGTTATTAAATAGAAATTATATAATTATGAGTAATTTTTGTACTTAGATTAGAGAGCGAATGTAGTCGGCCTATAGAGGCCCATTCTTCCTTCTCTCTCTCTCTCTCTCTCTCTCTCTCTCTCTCTCTCTCTCTCTCTCTCTCTCTCTCTCTCTCTCTCTCTCTCTCTCTCTCTCTCTCTCTCTCTCCCTCTCTCTCTCTCCCTGATTGACAAACGCGAGTACCACTCAAATTTATCGTGACGAGCACGAGTCGATCACGGGAGAGGCCAATTGGTAAGGGTAGTTGTGGTTATCCTAGCATGTAACTTGGTGTCTCGTGTTTTCTAATTGTTTCAACACAAGAGATTATATGTTTTTTTTATCAAATACTACAAAGAAAACCATCAAATAAACTAATGCTAAAGCCTAGGTCTCAAGACTCGAGACATTAGTTGAGTTGCTCATGGATATTCCATTCATGTGGGTGAACTATTGTGTGAGCGAAGAGTATCTATAGTAGGCCATGTTGGTCTATTTGCCTATGTTATGTACTTCCTAACAAGCCTAGTTTGGAGTAAATGTTGAGTGATAAAGACTTTACGCAATTTCCCTTATTTTCCCCATAAGCCAATGTCATTCCTTACTAATTGATCTATAAAGAGGGTTTATTGGTGAGTTTCGAGCCATTCATATCTACTAGGGATTAAGATGAAATCTTTTCTCATTTCCAAGAGAAGTGCCAACCTCTTAAGTACCGTTCAATGACCCAACAATAAACTACGAAAGAAATCATACCACAAATATTTCAATCCATGGATTCACGCAATAAAGCACTCTCATTCATCACCCATAACCATAGCTAAGGGTTTAGATACAACTACACATAAAGAAAAATAAATAACGTAATACAACAAAAACTAAAGCTATAGAAATAAAAGGAGATTAAAGGAAAGGGTTCATCAAGAAAGTATTGACACAAATCCACTAATTTCCTTTAAGATGTAAACCTAAAATTACACATTTCCTCAGCTATAGCACCCACTCAAAAACTAGGTTAACTCCCTATTTTTCCCTAATCTGAAAAAACCTATCTACTAGTATCTAAAACTCTAGATGAGTTCTTGACCCAAAGTAACCTATTTGTATAATTTAGGCACAGAATGATTGAATATTCAAATACTATAGTTGTAGGCTAAAATCATAATTTATGAAACTTTTATAAGGGGAGTGACGTTTGAAGTCTTGATGAGGTCGACATGGGCAAGAAACCCGCGCACAAGAACAAAAGAGATCCATCTCCATACTACCAACTAGTTGATATGACATGCATCTTCTAGTCGAAAGGACTTGCAAAGGCAAAGTTGTCTCATCCTTAGAATTTACTATATGATTGGCCTTTGGACTGATGGATCACATATTTGTTGCATGTGAAGGGAAATAAAGCAATTGGCATGCTCTCAATCTTTCATCCGCATTGCATTTTAGATAGCTCCTCATGGTCACGATGTCAAGCGCTGTGAGTGCTTCTAAACATCATACTTTTCATATATTTTTTTGTTGATTTTTAACAATTTTTACTTTAGTTTGCAATGAATGCATCAAGGCACTGCCAATCAAGCAATTGTGTTGATGAGTGTCAAATTTACATGTTTTAGCAAGGAACTGTCACTTCCTTTTACTTGTAAATTAGTCTAAATTAAGTAGAATTAGTTTAGTTCTTTTTTAGGTTTGCATTTTAGGGTGATCAGAGGACCAAGGTGTCATTTCGTACAAATATTGGGCCAAAAAGAGGAAAAAGAACAAAAAACAAGAGCTGCTGATGAACATGCCACTCTTGTGCTGCTGCTATAGAATGTTACTGTTGCTGATTCAACAAAAAGAGGAAGAAGCAGATGAATGGGAGCTGAAGCGGAAAAGGGGATGGAGAAGAAGAGGTGATTAAGTGACATGGAGCTGATGTGATGGAGCTGATTTTGTGGGCAAAAAGTAGCCAAAAAGGTGATTAAGTGACATGGAGGTACAACCTCAATAAAGTTCATCAAGGACTAAGCCCAAAAGCAAATCTTGACTCCTTGATTTAGTGAAGATTACAAAAGCAAAAAGTGCCATCAACCAAGTCCTATAAACGGAGGCCCTTAGCTGTAAAAGAGATCATCACCAATAAGAGAGACCAAAATCTGAGTTAGCTTTAGAAACAAGGAAACAGAGTTGCTGCAGCAGAAGGCTGGAACTGTCCACTTGGGCAAGCGACGAACTCACTTCTAAAAGTCACCAGACAAAATTTGCACTCGTTGAGTTTTTGTTCATTCTGTTGCTCATATTTGGTCTTGTAACCATGTTGGATATGCTGTATTTCATTGTCTTTGTACTTAAACTCTTAAGTATGTGTAGCTAAACTCTTAACTAGGGTCTAATCCCTGCTCTCTATACATGAAATATTATGGTAAAGCTCTTATAAGAATTATTGTTT